GATAACAACAATTAGCCATTTATAATAAATGAGCTTCGATAGCACAATAAGCCTGCATGAATTTTAACTGCGATAAACCTTGGACGTCCAAAGCTTTCAAAAACAGGGTAGTGTTTGATATGCAGTGGCATCTTTGGTCAAAGTCTGTTGATATCAGAAAAAGTAAATACCGTATTTGCTTGAATAAAAGCCGCAGCTACTATTGATTTTAGGTCAGAAAGATGCGGATTTTATTCAAACGTGGCTATTCTTTTTTAAAAAGAACTTCTCATGATAAAAATCTTAATAGTTTAAAACTGCCCACATTTGTTGGAGGATGTAAAGGAAGAAATTGCTATGAAATATCAATTTAGAAAATTTGTTTGCATATCATATATGCAAGGAAAATTTTCTAAAAATGAATGAATTCTCGCAATCCACTACAATTGCCCAAATGAATAAAAATTTGAAAGGCGAAACCCCTGTTGCATTTATTCGTAGGCAGCTTCTAATGAAAGGCGTTTTGTACACAAGAAATACATGCTTGATTAAAACTTCATATTGGTCATCTATTGTTTTATGGCGATAGTTGCTGTAATTTACATTAGCAATAGAACACAATAAAATATGAGCGTTAACACCACAGTATCAACATGCCCAAATATTAGCGTTATATTTAACACCACAGTATCAACATGCCGAAAGTGAGACATGTTGCATGTTATTTTCTCTTTCCTTAAAAATCATCCCAAAACAATAAAACTCCTATTTGAATCAATGAATGGGATATTAAGACAAACACTTTCTACTTCATTCTATATATCGAGAGTAAGAGAAAGTATGACGTCACTTAATGTGTTGTTTATCCTTCTCTTTCGAAAGTTTATCCAATCTGTTTAAGAATAAGCAGAGGCTCGTAAATGCGAAAGTGCTTGAGATGCTTCGTTATTCTTGAAACTTTATGAAAGAATAAAACAGAACTACTCTAAACTATCACGATTTAAATCCATTGCATATAATGCAAATGAAATTTGAAAAAAAAGTTGCTACTTATATAGGTATATCATTTCTGACAGCTCGCTTTGAAAAAAGGCTATATTTAAATCTAACACATAAATTTAACACAGAAATCAAATACTTCTATATTCATTTGTAGCGTGGAAAACATAAATCAAAATATTGAAAATAGTTTCCTCTGATGTACCACAAATTTAATCATAACGAGATGGATCTAAAAAAATATCCTTTCATTCGTATAAACAGAACCAATGAACTTCAAAGTAAAGAAAATAAAGTGTTCTCTTAAAAAATAATCTGTTTTTTCAGCTTTTTATAAACTGAAAATTCTTTGAAAGAAATAAGCTGTTTTTTCTTATAGAGCCAGCGAATTTCGGGCCCTGTTGTCCCTAGTACAGTAGCTAGAGCACTTTTCTCGGACGACATTTACCTTCCAAAGTAAAATCACTATATACTACCAGCAAGCTGCAATTACTTCATATTTCAAATCCATCCTCGTCTAAGGCAACACGGTCAACAGTAAACACCGAAGAGCCACAGCGATCTGCGACAGCTGCAAATCTTAATGGCACATTTTCAATATTTTTCTTTAACGCAATGATTATTGAAAGATATGAAATGACATTGGAGAGCTTAGAATGAATATGACCCAGTTGGAAGTAAATTTCTACTAATGCTTTAGCGGTTTGTCACCTGTCGTCTCCAGCAAGGATGTAGCGTACGGGGGGGAGGGGGGGGTTGGGAGGCGTACACCCCCAACTTTAAGAGAACTCGTCTCCCGGGCGAAAAAAAAGCTAAATTCTAAGGCGAAACAAAAATTAAAAGGAAACCTTCCTTCATAAAATGCAACAGCATTGCTACTCAGATATGGCCGTTCACATTATGATAAAAAAGAATCTTATCGCACTGTGCTCTTAATGCGCCGCAGCAAACCAAAATTAAAGTTGCCTGGCAGTTGAAAAGCCCATTCAAAAGGCTCCCATAGTTCCCTGCGTCGTGAACAGAAACAATAATCATAATATAAACGCATAACTGATGCATAAATTGCTTCAGTGCAATAGGGGATCAATGAATAAAAAGTTATTCATAGGTTTATGACTTTTTTACATTACAACGTAAAGAGAGATGTTGAAAATTTGTTATAAGTTTGCCAAATAAAACTATTCTCTAAAAACAGAATAATGCAGCACTACCTGTTTTTTTATTGTTGGGTGAGAACGGAAACTTGGTGATGAACAAACAAAAAATGCTGAATGATGGATTTCTGGTATTGATTTTTACTCAAAACGTGAATGCTTAACACCAAAAAACATTCAGCCATTCAATTTGAACCCGATGGTCATGCCCAGCAAACTGCACAGTGAATCGTGGGATATTTTTCTGCTTGCTCATAGTTTTAGGCTTTAACCTTCCTTAACCGACAATTATAGAGCCGAGGAACGTAAATAATTCATGTCCACATGGCCTTTTCAAGTTGAGAAATAACAAACAACATTGAAAGCATCTACCTAGCAAATCTGCATGAGAAATTTCTTCTCTTTTGCTTGTCGAAAAGAAGGATTTACCACTACTAACAATGATAAAATATTAATAAATTTGTGTCCCAGTCACACAAGTGTCTTTCAAAATTCAAAATGTTTACTCGTGCAAAAAAACATCAAGATATTTTTACAATAACAGTTCGAAATTCTTCAATTAAAAAGTCTCTAAGTGATCAACATTACTTGGATATCGTTCAGAAACCTTACCACGTGGGCCTGTCTCAAATGGCCAGATGCATGGCACAATTCAACTAGCTGATGTTGCTGAATTCGACTCAGCAAAGGTGTTTCTCCGCTTCTTTGGCGATATTAAAAAACTTATAGTTGTATTTTCTCCTGTCTATGACTTTGCATTCATAGTAGAGGTGCCGTCCTAAATCATGACAGGGGATTCTGCTGTAACGAACTTCTAGAAGCCAGACTTAAGATCACACCTATGGTCTCACCCTACATACTTGCATTTGTGTTAAAGGCTCTCTGTTGTGTATCTGAAATCATTGAAGCCATTTACAGACTCATAAAAATTACTAGGAAATTGTTCATTGACGGATAGTCAATAGCATAGCAAGGCGTCAATTGACATTTCTAAGTATGAGGTCCCCCTCCACGGCAACTGATCATCGATTTCGTTATTTTTGAGAAAGTATTCTTTTTTGGTAAGTATGCTCTCAACTACATTTCTATTCCATTTCAAATTTCATCGTTCCATTTCAAAAAATACTACCGGATTTGCAGACGTGTCTCACTAAATTGGCAATGTGAGCCTAGTAGCTTTCTTCTCTAAAATTGATATAACATCATATTTTCTTAATGCACGGCAGATGCTGTCTATGAAGAAAAGCATGGAGAGCTTGCCTAAGAAAATGAATGCCAAATGAATCAAAAGGAATTAAATGAATTAAAACTGCAACAAAATTATTGTACAAAAACAGGCCATACACTCTTTGATAAAAGAAGCATGAAGAGAGAACTGCACTGAGATCACATTGCATTATGGCACAGCCGACGAACTGCTCAAAACTACAGTATATTTAAACGATCCTATTATAAACTGCAGAGGCGTCGAATTAGGCTGCAGTGACATCAGATCAGGTACCCACGCGTGTGGTAGCAGATCATGTTAATTTGATTACTAACAAGCTCGTAACTCAAATTGAAAGAAAGTGAACGATAGGCTTGCATTATTGCATGATATCGAGTTACGCTAAATTGCAAGACTGTGTCCCAAAATTAATTCACAATTATTTACCTGCGGGTGGTAACAATATCTTTTTTTTAATCAAAACAAATCCCAAATCAAGAAAGCACATTGAAAAAGTTCAACAAAAAGTGAAGCCTGTTTTAATATCAAGCGAATATGGCGCAGTAGGGACCCAGCTGTGCCTAGTGATTACTCTATTCTCTAAGTACTATCGATACCCTCAGACAAGACGAGTGAAACGGCATCGCAGTCAGTCTCAGAGCAGGTGTTTTTTAAAAATCAATTGGTCTCCCTATCGGCTTTTCTTCTTAGCAAATTGATCTTGTTTACAAATCATATCTTAGATTCAGGTTACGTGATTGATAAATACTTATCAGATGATACAAATTTTCACTCGAAATGCACTTCGTTCAAGTGTCAAGATACACATAACAGTACGCAAAGCCTTTTACTAATGCCTTAACTTGTAACGAAGAAAGTCAACTGACCATTTCTATTATTGACTGACTCAAATACACCGGATTCTACCCCAATATTCCATGATACACTTGTACTTTAGAAAATGTTGATCATTCCTAGCAGCAACTAAATTGCTGTTATAAATTTTAACGCGTGTTAAGTTGTATAAGTTCTCATGTGAAATTCTAAATTCTCATAAGGGATGCAACCAGGTTTTTTCTGAAGATAAGCGCAAACTGAGACACTATATGGAATTAAGCTAGGACATTATAACAGATAATAGTGTCAAGCAAGAAGGCAAGCTCAGTACCATTATTTAAATATTCTTACAGTCGCCTTATCCTTGGAAAAACTTGGCAATAAATCTCTAAGGAAAGATTTTATGCATTTCAATTTAAAACAGCAAACGACTTTGCTTTTTATAAGAAATTACAGAATGAAGGCTGGCTTAGTTTTAGCAAATTTACTGACAGAGTAGAAAACCATGGAGAAGAAAAATGCTTTGCAAAAAACTTGTAAATATCTAGCTTGCATCATGATAAGATATCTAGATGACATTATATGTCTTAAAATGCTTGTATTGAGTTGATTAAATCTATGAAAAATCGCCTCTTTTCAATCACGTACACTCAATCACGTATCTTAACTCAAGATCTTTAACATGTGGTATTGGGAGCAAACATGATTAATAATCTCTCTCTCAATTGCTCTTACAATGAATCATTTTATGTATCCAAATAACTTTAATTTGGAATAATCTGATTTTAATAAAGTGACCTAGATGTATGAAGAACTGAACTAACCATTGAAAGGTGATGCAACCAAGATTATAGCTCTTTCTTTATAGACATAACCTGCGAATAAAATGAAATTTCCTTATTCACCAGAGAAATTTCCTCATTCAAATTCCAAACGATTGCAATAATGAGGCACCAGTTAGAATATCTGGTGACCTTGATAAAATCTTCTTATCATTCTTTTTATCTAATGAGAAGTTAGACAGCTTTTTAAAACTATAAGAAAGATTCTATAAACACTTGCACCTTTCAATGCCACGAAACAAATCGATATTTTTTAATGTCGTCAAAGTACGCTGGATATGCTTCACGAGCTTTGAATACCGTGATATTACATACTGTGATAAACATGGATACTGTCTATTTATTTAACATAGATTGCTTGTTGCTCTGTTTATTCCACGATATACAGCTTTGAAGCTCGAGTTCTATCACTTCTTTAAAGCTAAGCTTTTCTGTCTATCTTCAGACATTATAATTCCACATTTTGAGACATTTTTCGCAAAAACATTTTGAATGTGGTTTTGTCAAATGCATATTTTTATCAGGCCAGGTGATCCAGAATTCTTGAATACAGACAATTTATGTATTGCTAACTATCGCTGTTCTTTGAATTTCAATTGCAAACTGCAATAAAGACATTTCAGAGTAAAGCACAAGTTCCTCTAAACAACGAATTCCATGTTTGAGAATTGGACAGCTGTAGACTTGTGCTCAGTGCCAAACATGATGAGTCTCAATTGCATACAAGATGCAGCAAACACGTGGTTCCGGTAGAATTGATAGGTCGAAGGTGCCTTCATTTCTCTGTATCTAGAATCAGTTAAACCTTCCTTAGCAGTCCTATAAGCTACCTCTGATTCCGTTTTTGGATAAAGATAAGTTCCTTGTTTTGCTTGCGTCATCATCAAAGAAGGATACAAAAATTTACATTGGTTTTTCAATGACTGTTTTGTGACAAAAACATTCTTTAAACTTCCCTTCAATTAAAAACCATCTAGGTTATACCAAAATGCTTGAAACAGCCGCTCAATAATTTGCTATCGTTTGAAAAGTCATCTGACAATGCCAAACAAGAAAACACCTTTCTTATTGAGTGGAATTGAAAGCAAGAAATTTTCTGTAAAATTCTTGCTATCAAATTTTTGATTTAACGATTTATTTCTTTGCAAAGCACTTTTCAGATTGTTTGCATCATGCTTGTCCTCAACCTAAATCCTCGATCGTTGGAACATCCACTTATGCCAGCTACTGTTGGGAAAAAAGCTCCAATAGAACCACAGAGAAAAAAAGCCTCTCTCTGTTAAACGCCCAACTCATAGAACCTCAAAGCGTTGTAGAAAATTATAACTCCAAGTCATCTAATGGTGAAAAAGCAGATAAGAACTAATCGAAAACAACAGTGAAGCTAGATATCAAGAATAGAACGGCAGAAAAGGGCCCAAAAAATGTGGAACATGAAAAGCTTCGTTGAGCATGCTTCTCTCCGCGCTTTCTTAGAATTTCCGAACTGTGCTTGCGGAACGATTCCTTGCATTTATGCATGTTGTTTTGCTTTTGAAAACCTCTTCTTCCTCATTCATTATACAAGCAAAAGTCTTGCAAAAAGAACCTACGTTACAGGGTTCCTGCTGACAGGAGACCGCCCTTTGAATACGTCTTTAACAAAAATTAGAGATTTGCTAAGCCGGAAATTTCGGCCAAAATATAATAAAAAGGCCTCTCAGTAAAAAAATTAATCCTTGTATGCCAAGCCCAACTTTGCTTCAGTTGAATTGAAATGCAAGCTTTCTAAGCTTGACCTTATTCAAGAAACCATCATGTGATGTGAGCATAGCAACGTTTCGCCTAAGAAACAATCAGAACGAGCCAATCTAACAGCTCAAACAGGTTCGTATAGTTAAGAAGTCATTTATCGGCAACACCTTGAAGGTAAAGATGAAAAGTACAATCTTCGGCTATATCATTAGTCTATAGTATGATGGAATAGTTCAAACAGAACCTGTGAACTACAAACGTAAGGACTAAATAATTAAGATTTACTTGAAGCCGTAATTCCTAATTCGGAAGGCCTTCAATGGCAAATACATTCAATTTTTTGTCTTTTCTTAGAATTAAGACTATTTCATTGGCATTGTTCTGCTCTGCCCTAAATTCTCAGTTTGGAAATAGCAAACTCTCTTGTCAGATTTGTTCAGTATAACCTTGTTTCGATAAAAATTAGCTATTTTGCTATAAAAAAAACAGGTAAAGAGAATGCTTATATCATTAATAAACCTTTGTGTTCATTCTTATGTTCAGATTTTTAGTCATTAACTTTGTTTTTCACAATCGAATCAATTTACATTGTAAATGCTTCTTCCATCAGCCTTGCTGCTACTTAAATTTAATGCAATGGTACAAAATCGGATTTTCAAACATACAGCGAAGCCTACTCGTCTTAAATTCATGGGATATTACATGTTTAAATATTTCAACAACTGTTCAAACAACAAATATATCATAAATGTTTAATTAACCTTATCAAAACAACTATTTGCAAAAAACTAAGTTCACAAATGAAGAGTTCAAACAAAATACAAACGTATCTGTACCACAAAAGAAATGGAGAATATGCTCAATCGAACAAAGCAATTACATATACAGTTTTTTCTTGCTTCAGCTGCAATTTACAAAATTCATATACTCTTAGCCAGATCAGTTTTTACATTTTCTATAAAACTGATCGATGTCAAATAATACAAAAGAGACAGCTAGATTAATTCTTCACTATTTATATGTCTGAATTTTTGCCAACGCCTCACAAAATTTCGCATATATTTGACAAAACACAAAAAGAAATCATATAAAACATAATTTGTGAGACATCTGGAAGATTACAATCAATTTCGTTTCGTTGTTTTGCCTTCCGTTAGAAAGAACTCACATTTCCTTCATGGAACTTTTATCATTCAGCTATTTTTCAGTAACAGGCTATTGCGATATTCCAAGATCAGAGATATTTCATTTTAATGCCAAATTTTCTTTATTCGATATTCTTTATTCAAGCGCCAAAAAGCGAAAGAGACATTTGCAAACTTACTGTTTCGTTCTAAAGATTGAATTCTATATTACTGTGAAATCATCGCAAACAAAAACTTTTCATCGTTGAAAATGTGCTTTGAATATTGTTATTTCTCTTCCTTTAAAATGTTTTGTATAACAGTAACGAGAACTGCATGAATCTGCATGAATCAATTTTTTTGTTAATTTTTTGATGATGGCACCCACTTGAAGATTTTATTCCTGGCTGACTTCATGTACTAACCAAATATAAACTGTTTTCCTTCTCAAAGGTCGAAATATATGTGCGAGTGGTGAAGAATTGTGGCTATTAAGTAGGCAGATGCTCAATTCAGAAAGTCTCTGTTTTTCAACAGAACTCATCCTTAAATCTATGGGAAGATTTCAAGCAACGCTGGATGTTGTCGTGATAAGAATCTTTAATCATGAGTTGAAGGAGGAAATAAGCCTTACGATCGATTAAATTAAGATGTGCTGCAAAATCTACTGTAAATGACCTAAATTGCTGCTTCGCATTTATCGATTGTAAAAAAATATATGACATCGTTGCTCTCTGGCAGCGAGAAACTAGACGATGACCTACCAGAAATGAATAGGAGAATCCGCTAATTTTAATTTTCACATAAAAACTAGTTGATTGGCTAAAAAGGGTGAATTTCCATCAAAAAGGGTGAATTGTTAAAATGATTTGTTTGCTGTATATATTATTTTAGATGGTTTACCTTAATTTTAATCAAGTATGGATGATGGTATGCTATAGTATTTATATAGGATTTTAGAGCGAGATATACTTGAGAGCGAGAGTTACAAACTTAATTACAAACTTAATAATTTACAAACTTAGGAAAGGTTTTGCTGTTTATTGACACCAAAATATGCATTTCTGATTTTGGGAATGTATAGCTACAAATCTCCTTTTTGCAAATCGTTACTTGTCTTGTTTGTTTACGTTCCAAATTATCTTCTCTGTCAGCAACTTCTTTATTAATTGAAAAAATAATGGGTTGCTCTTGAAAGTCCAGTATAGATAATCAATGCTCGTTTTGGCATGGATCCGCTTCTACTGGAAAAAGATCTAAATATTGTCACAACGAAATTTGCAGGTTTTCCGACTCCTGCGCAATGGCACCAAAGAAAGATTAGCATCTTCTATCCAATAGCACTATTTCTCTACAATATTGCTTTCCTTGCATTATCAACTGATTCTAACCAATTTTCTCCTCATCGGGAGCAACAAAATCCCTGGAACGTTCTTGTTTGTGAAGAAATGTTAACAGAATGCTTCCCCTCTCGGGAATCAGCCAAAATAGTTAAAAACTCTGGTTTTTTCTATTGCCTATCATTAAAATTTAAAAATTTTCAGGAGTGAATGCCAGTATGGTGTAAAACGCTCAAAAATTAAAAAATTGTGGAGGGAAGTGATGTAAGATGGAATAGCTTGTCCTTTTCTGTAGACGCTCGCATTTGGAAGGACAAATTGTGAGCTGAGGATTCAGCTTTGTATGCTGACCAAAACAGTTTGATCTTTATCAAAGCAGTCTATTATAGTGAGTTATAGCAAACAGCAAAAGAAAATGAGAATATTTACAGAGCAACCGAAAAAGTGATGAGCACTTATTGAGGAATTGTTAGAGATGTATTATTAAAATGAGACATCGAAATTTCACCAGCAAATGGCAGTAGTTAAAATAATATCAAAGCAATGGACTTCTTAAAGAGCCTGGAAGAGATCAACATAAATATGCTGCCAAGGATACATTCAAGATTACTGGTTTATGAAATCTCGTAAAAAAGCTGACTGATACACTTAAGAATACACTTGCTTGATCACTTAAGTACATTACAGATTGACAGGCTGTTGGATCACCTGGCCTAAATGCGGATTATAATTTTCAAGTAAGACTTATTTGTTGTTTTTGGTCGCCTGGCCTAAATCTTGATGTTGAGATTTTCAAACAAGATTTTGTTGCTGTTAAATTGGCTCTCTGCAGTGTGTATACAAATGATATATGTTATTTAAAGAAAAAATAACTACAGTATAAATTAAGTTACAAAACTGAATTTACGAATTTTCTTTGAAGTTTAACTTTTGTTATCAGATAAAAGATAAGGAAGCATTATCATAAATGGTACATGACATAAATGTTAAGATAAAACAAATTTCCCCTTTGCAACAATAATTTTATACTTTTGTAAAGAAACCCCTGATGTAAAATATTGAACGATTAGATTTTAATAAACCAGCACCTCATCTCTTTTATTAAATCATACTTCTTTTCTTATGCCTTAGATTTTTCATTTCAATCGTGATCTTTCTCTTTTGCTTGGAATTGAACCCAATGGAGCTTGCAACTTTATTGCCTTCTGTGTTATTTTACAGAAAATTTATAAGTTTAATTAACTTGTGAATATTTTTCATATAAGAAATTATAAACAAAACATTTCCTTGATAAAAATGAACATAGTATTGCATGTTTAACAACAAGAAAGTTGAAACATGTTGCCATGGCAAATTTATAATCAACTGAACTGCCTTGCAGCTCTTGCATAAAAATGGTGGCGTAAAAAGAACATTATTAAGGATTTGAATAACAAATCTCAATTTTCATTGTGTATGTTCGATAAGCTAATCTAAAAGCTGGAGCATTCTTCTTTACCTATAGCGACAGCTTGCTGGAAGTGTCAGGGAACATAAAAAAGGTTGAAATAAAAACCTACTCACTTCAGCTGCAAATTGATAAATGAATTCATCTTATTTTGCATGTCTACTTGATAAAAGCGACGAAGTTTACAAGCACCTTGTCTAAATAAGGCCCCTTCAAAGGTCTGATACGGGCCGCTTTTCGTTTAGTGCCTTTATGATACTGCAGGCATCAGTTTAACAGATCCGCGTTTTAGTTACAGATCCGTCTAAGATTGGCGGTGGTAACGCCTTTTGCCATATGATATTACAAATGATATGGATGTACAGATATGTGATTGGTAGTTGTTGTTTTTCTCTTGAATTAGAGCCTTTGTTTGATGGGAGCAGAAAAGACGCTAGCATGTTGAAGACCTGCTCAAACAACTTTTAAAATCTGTAAGAGATACTCAAACATGGTTGCTTTCTTATTTATATAGATCCAAAGAGCACGGTTCAGTTAATTGTTCTAACCATAGAAGTAAAAAAATCACAGTACAGCTTATTAAATAATTTGAAGTCCAAATTGTTCCTGCTGGAATATTTGCCAATAATGTTTACTTTTTTATCGAGAAAGTCGCGATAAGTTCAGGCGGTACAACACGAGGATTTGTTGAGTCGTGGGCATTTGCTTTGTCATTTGAGCGCCTCTTATGTTTATTACCAGAGCTATACTGAATGAAACTTTCAGCAGACTGTTTTTCTTGCTACAGTGAAGAAAACAAGCAAGTTTCGAAAACCCTGATGAAAAGGGTCAAGAAGGTTGTCTTTGACAAAGGTTGTCAGAAGTAAAAGAATTTAAGTTTATCAAATGTTTTCTTTGAAATCTGCTTATGCTGCTTGCATGATGAAGGTTTGACAGTTATCGAAAAACTATCGAAGTTTCCTTAGAAGAAACTTTTGCTTAAACCACGATATGAATGTCGTCAAGTTATACTGGAGCCCCCCGATAGATTTTCTTCCTTACGTCGTTGCATTCCAGAAATCTTAGAACTTCGATGATATATTTACTTATTTTGGTAGGTTTTTTATGCTTATTTTGCAATGTTTATTTTTACTGAAAAGAAAGGCAAATGGCCAATAGAATTCCAACATCGTATGCTCCTGTGAAGCGCCATTCGGCAGTGTAGTGCCTGAAATTCCTTATCAAGGTGTGAATCATGACGCAATTATAATCCGTGCACACAATGCTTTAAGTGTATGCTTGCTTACAGGCAACAGATTGCATGGTATGAAAAAAGATGAATGGCATTGAAGAAGCGAAGTAACTGGATTATTTGCACATGGAACACAGGACTTTTTCGTTTAACAGTTCTGCTCCTTTACCGGTCAAATGTATATCGTATGCAGAAAATAAGCACAAAAGGTATCAACAAATAAATATAATGAATAAAAATGCATTTCTTTATGGATTATATGTTAAAAACGAGCCGAAATGCTCACGAAATAAAATTATCTCTTATTGTGCGGTAAACTGTCACAGAAGATGTCTTTAGGGCAAAAAAAGTATAAAATACTATATGTTGATGTAGAAATACTATTCAAATGAAATCGGATTCAAATTTTCGTGGTTTTAGAGAGAAAAGGCAGTTTATTTTTCCTATTGTGTCTATTTTTTAACTATTCTTGATTTGGCCATATTTGCTTACGGAAATATCCATTCTTGTTTTTAAGACCTTATCAATTAGTCTTTACATTCAAGGTGTTATATCTATTCTTCATACTTCATACTAAATAAAGAACAAACAGTGTTTTTTTGCTTCTGTTTCCTTGATTCATGGATTACTGATTCCTGGATATCCAAAAAACTAGACAAAATGTTTTCGGATAGAAAATCGTAGTAACATTGCCCTATTTTACCGAAATGGAAGACATTCCGTAACCACTTTAAACATGTAAAAATGTTTACTTACAGTTTTAACATCAACCTCTGAGAAAAAGAGAAAAGACCCTAAAGATTTTCGTCTGTATTTCTAGCAACACTGCTATGGCACTACAAAGAATACCATTAAGATGTAACAAATTTTGGTGTCAATAGGTTTTTTTTAAACTTTGAGAATCATGTAAACTGCTTGAAACTTTTAAAGAATTTGCTAGGGATATGATCCTACAAATGAAGTACACTTGAAAAACAATAAGTCCAGAGGGGAGTACACCTGACCTTATTATTCAAATTTGGAGCTTTCATCGCTACAATGTTTTGAGAGAATATTGTGAAAGAATTCCTACTATTAATGCAAAACCATAGATATGACAGGGGCGGTTAGCCATGCTTTGCATTCCTCCAGCAAACGTCATAACGGAGAAATCATCATCAAAGTCCCTTTCAACATCTGATTTAGAGGATATTTGCACTTTAACGCAGTTATTTGAAACAATCTTTCCTTTCAAGATGTAAGGTCACACGATAACATGGTGTGAAAAGTAAATGTACTTGAGGAGTTCTATGTCAGAGGGTCGATGGAGCAGATATATTGATTTCATTTCAGTGGTTCTGTGCAGTTTTAATTTTTACGAATAAATGATAGTAAATTCCCATTTTCATTAGAAAACAACAGTAAATGACCTTGGACGTTATGTTTTCTTCTAGCAAATACTCGATGTTTAAAATGCTCTTGTGCAGCATTTTGATAAAGTTAATACAGAGAATGCTAAGAAAATTGGTCTACAAATTACAGATTTTCCAGAATCCAGTCGAAACCATTAGATGTTTCTTTCTTATTCAAAGAACAAGATTGAGATAGATTCAAAGATAAGAAAGAAACAAATATTTTTGTATGACTAGCTTAAAGAGTTTACTTTACTTTGGACTTTGCTGGCCACAATGACTTTTCTTAATTTAATCGAATCGCTAATTGGCACAGTCACTTGCCTATATCCTCCACTTCCCTCTAACCTCAATTTTCTTGGTCATAATTTTCTGTCACCGAGATGGCCCCCGTTTCTTAATTTCCTCTCGTCATCTTCCCTTCCATTTGCACTAAGTTATCATCTGCGTAAGACCCCAATCAGGGGTGGTCTGGTCCGTGTGGCAAAGTGGCGATCGCCAGCCGGGCCCTCGGGTATTTAAAGTAAAAAATTGATAAAGGGCTCTTTCTATAAACGTTGAAGAGGAAAATTTTCATTAACTGAGATCTTAAAGTTACAGCCAAGGCCCCTAAAAAGTGTGCTGGCTTCAGAAATACGGGAGGAAAATGAAGTCTGTGCGTAGGCCGCATGGCCCCACTACGACCAACATCCACTATACAGACAATCTATTTCAAATTTCGCTCTAATACAAGAAGCCTATAACTGTCTAGGAAATACCTAGGAAACAATTTGAAACTGTACGTAGAGATCAAGAAGTTGTTGTCTTCTGATAGTTGTCTGGAGTCGTCATTGTTACATTTCTAGCTAATAATGACCTACCATACATGATCAGACGTCCCCAGAAACAAAATTTCGAGTGAAGAAAGCTTCTCCAATAAAGAAAAACGTCAAATTTTTGGCATCAACTTTCCCAAAAGAAGCGAAATAAGATCTTTCGCAAAAGGAAACTTTCGCATTTTAAGGCCAATCTCAACCAAAGTTTTTTTGCAGCGCTTGTCTGAAAAATACGTGAAGACACATGCGCAGAAAGAAAAATTCGTGTGAAAAGCGTTCGCTCATCGAAAAATTGGCTTGACGAATAGTTGAAGCAGTTTCTACTTTTCGTCAAGCAAAATTGTTCGAGGTGTACAGCATAGGATAATACAATTGCATGATTTTCATAATGGGCCTTTGCGATATGGCATTCTCACGGCAACCGGAAATTAAGTAGCAGTGAAACTAACTTGCTGTTGAATACATTACTGGTAATCTACAATTTCGAGTAGAGTAAGCTATTATTCTTGTTCACAACCAAATTCAATTTACCAAATGCCGATTTTATTGGTATTCACATTTCTGATCTCTGTCTTTATGTAATTTGCGCATCCAATCTACACGTGCTTTTTTAAAGCTTGATTTCCCCTGGCTCCAATGTAAACATAACTGAATTCATGTTTTTATCATGTACACAAAACATCAAAGATAGCTCTGTGACAACATCTTTGTTCTAAGAATCTTGCGCGCACTGAATGAAATTGGTCGAAATCAGTGGAGATTGGAATGAGCACACTTGGTACGAACGCTTGAATTGCGTTCGTACTTCAATTTCTTCCCTTAAAGTAACAAAAAAACCTTTCCCGGCCTCCCTTCAAGTTCTTCTTTTTCTGAAACCCCCTAATGGGGCATTTTGAAAAATTATATGGAAGTTTTTCTGTTCGCTAATGGTTAAATTAACAACGTGTTTAGAATAATAAAGTCTAGTACAGACTAAAGAATCGGTATCATTTTGAGTCCTCTCAATGATGTTTTAGAGTGAGAATGTTTGTAGTTTACCTAATTTCGAATTGTAGCCAAGACACTAACTAGACCAATAAAAAGGTGATACGTACAAGAACAGAACTGGCAGGTTGGATTTTTAGCTCAATTTCAGAATATTGCATTAGGTTCACTTGACAATATTGCTTGAAGTGTTAGACTAGGGTCATTTTTTTATACTGCTATAAGAGTTTCTTGGAGTTACAAATAGAAAAGAACTACCGATTTGCTGTTATTGTGCAAAGTTTAGCAGTATAGAATCCTTGATTTAAGTATAGCACCCATCCATAATTCATTTGGGCTGATCGTATTTTACGATATGCTTTCATTAGCGGGTGTGGTTCAAAAAAGTCTACCACACCCTGAACCGGGCCCTTTTGGTTTGCTAGCCGACCTGCAATTTTGATGCCAGACCTCCTCTGCCCCAATTAATGCAGTTGATAAATAAACAAACGATTCAAATCCATTAGATGTGCAGTTTTTCTGGTAAAATTGCTGAGGAGTAAAAGGAAATGTATCGTAAAGAAATGTTTGGCGACAGATCGATTACAAATACTGTTACGAGATTGTTGGAAACATAGGATCTTAGTTTTAAAAGAGGTTTTCATTGAAAACTTGTACAGGTAACGATTGAGATTAGGGAGCCTATACAATGAATCAATAATTTATCATTCGATTTTCGTCAGTTACCATTAAAAAGTAGCCATTCCTTTTTCAAAATGGGAAATATTAGTTGTCCTTGAATCAAGAAACCGAAAGTTCTGTATAGAGAAATAACGCATTTCTACTTTCGAACTTGCAGCAGCTGATGTTGAGAAAAAGAACATTGCTAGGGGTGACACACTCTGAAATCTTAATGATTCAACCTGCGAATGAAAATCGTGTTTGACTAAATTGACTTTGCTCTGAAAACAGTTATCGTAAGAGAGAGACCGGTATCGAATGTCAAATTTACATTTCGTCAGCAGAATGGAAGGTGAAGCTATTCTAATCAGAATAAATATTGAATTAAGGATTAGTTGGACTTGACAAATCCAGATACCTATCCAAAGTTATTTCTTGCTTTGTTGACAATCGTACGACAAAAAAGGAAGGTCCTACAAAATACATTAGACAAGCTTCAATTCTATGTTATCTTGAACACCAAAAATTTGTAGTAACACCTAAGACTTCTATGTTGCTAAATTGCTTAGACTTTTGTTGCTAAAGTCTTGTATGCTCTGGTTCCTGAGAAATTTCTTAATAACTGGAGAACTATCATAACCAAGCCGGCCATTATTAATATGACCATGTGTGTAGGAAGTACGGCTTCAAAATCCAAGCTGGATTAATATAGATCCCTGAGTAACTAGTAATATCTGCATTGGCTTTCTACAGTTACTGACATCGGTCAGGTCTCATTTTAATCAAATACAGTAGGTTCTTGCAGTTGTGATGTTGTTTGTGACGTTTATAATTTCCCAGACAACAAGATTATCCAGAAACATAATATGGGTATCAGTAAGGTTTCTCTGAAATCGATCGAGATTTATTACGCTAATCTATTCCCCTCCTACATGTATCATCGTCCATGGCATTGTGGGTTTGAGGAACGAAAAGCCGCAACGTTTATGCTTCTTGTTGCTATAGGGATCACTGCATAACCGCACTTGTGCCACTGCTACGTATAAGACCCTAATAGCTACTGTGCTCGTACAATATATAGGCCATTTCTACGAGAAACAGGGATGATTTCGAATGACAAATCCCTTCGTATTTCAGACTAAATGATTTAACTTACAAGTGCAGAAAACCTAACTATGAATTTCAGGAGTGTCGCAAATCGCAAGGCACTAGCACAGGATAAGCTTTCTTGCCATGTCGGAAAATAATTTCAGCCTTTTTAAAACAAAGACCAAGCTTTTTCGCTATAACCAAATTTCAAAGAACCGATTGAAAATCTGTCCTATTTCGAAGGCAAGAAATCAAATGTTGTAAACTTTCATCTCCCGTAATAAAATTGTGACAATAACGAATGAGAATCAAGTTACACGTCACATTTAAATGGAACCAGCAGCCTTGCTGACGATCAGTCTGATTTTATTAATGATTGACTCAATTATGAAGACAATAAGATTCATGATTCTGGTGCTTTGAACGGCAAAAGAGTTTCTATGTACTAATCAAGTATAACAAACTATAGAATACCATGTTGTTGAAATAAAAGAAAAAGACTAAGGAATTCATTAGAATATTTTATGAAAAATCATATTTTGTATGACAAACCAGAAGGGTGACAAAATATGATTTGTGCATCTAATTTGCTCTTTCCAATGTCACCTTGTAAGTTTTGGCATTTTTTAGCAGTTACGAAGAAAACTCAAGTAAAAAGGGTATCTACAGGGCTTCACACTCAACGATCCCCTACCCTAGTTGGTCTCTTGAAATGACAATGCTTTCCTCGTGCATTGCAATTTCCATGAGCTTTCGAATTGGAACTAGAAAAGGCCTTGCATGAAGAATTTAAAATTCCGACTCCCTGGCAGCAATGGATGAAATTATACACCATGGGCTTTCTTCCTTTTTTCAATATGCTTGGGTTTCAACCAAATTTCTGTTCTAAATCTTTACAAGTAACAAATAGCGGGGCATAGCAAGGTGGCTCTGGGGCCAACTTTACATTAAGATTTGAGTTAGAAAGCTTAAAAATCCAACAGCTTGGACAAAGTAGCAAATGATATGCATACAAAGCTAGCATCCAAAGTTTTCTAAAGAACTTTTTAGGGTCAGAAGTGTACCTTACATGAGTATCATATTGCCCTTTCCATCGAAAAGTTTGAAGCATTCCCATAATTAGTTCGAACTTTTACGTTGAAAGCTATGGATGGAATGCTATCTATGAAAATTCGTTTTAACTGCATTTTTGTTTGCCTGTTGACTGAATATTTAAGAAAGGGGCATGCTTCTGCTTTTTGGAATTTGTTTTCTTCAGTAGGTCTTCTTGGGCATGAGCTCTTGGTGTTCGACGACCTTTTGCGAATGTAATTCAGATTTGCGAAACATTATCACCATTCAAGCCCTAAAAGGTCATTGTGATGTCATGTCCTACAGTTCTCCATTTCCTTCAAATTTATCCCAATCGTTGACATAACACAAATTGATAATAATAACGTTCTTCTAGCGAATATCTAAGCAATTGTAAAACCAGAGGATTACTAACAACAAAGGCACATGAGAAGTTTTTAATGTGAAACAGTCAATTTTTGAACAAATGTATATTATTCTGATCCACATAAAGAATTTGCTTCGAACGATGCAAAAAAGTGATGTGATTTTCTCTGTTGATAACTAGTAAACGATAATGGAGATTTTTGGGAAAGTTCAACATCGAAAATGACGGCACAAGAACGAATTGAGCCTATCTGCGAATCGATTTTAGCTGTTCAATATTGGATCCAGCCCGCCCACTTTCTACGCATTCGTGCAATCCTCCATGGCTCTTAATTTAATTCTACCCATCTATCCAGATATGGGCCGCACTATGTATCAATTGGGTCTCATTTTCCTTGACAAGGATTTGGAGACAGGTAGGGTGACTGATTTTCTAAACTTTCTAAATAATAGAGAGCGCTATTTTTAAAGTAATTCGCCTCAAAAAATTGAATGAAGTTAATCGTAGCAGGAAGAGAAAGCTTTTGTAAATACTCGTGGAGTACTGTTAGGTATAACAACGAAGCGTTTTGTCGGTTGTTTATTCGGGTAATACTTGAAGATGCTTTATGCATATGAGATTGGAGAAGAGATTTCAATTCTTTGTCGTTTAACAACATTTATATAGCTTCCAAGGCCTGTCTTCTCTACAAATCTAAAGCCATGACACCCCTGAATGAGAAACAGCAAACTGCAATTGTATTTTAATCTGAGATCTGCTTTTTCCGTGAATACATCAATATTTGTTCACTCCTGTCCGGCTCAGGAGTTGAAACAATCCAAAATCTAGAAACAGTCTGATCTCCTTCTAAGTTGCTAAAAGATACTTAGTAACCAGCAGATTAAGATACGGACCAATTTGTTGTATCAAAATCTTTTAAAATGTCAAATAATCTTGGTCAATTTCTCCGTATAAAAGTGTTAAAAATGATAGGGTGACGTGATATACCTTAGATATAATTCCAATAGCGACTTGAAATGAAGAATGCGAAATTTTGCACCAGCAAAAAAGATGGTAATTTATTGTTACGGAAAGATCAAGCGAAATCCACACAAAAAGATGAAAAGAAAAAAGCAAAAGTTTAAAAAACTGCCAATTTTTGGCATCAACAAGGGAAGTTTGAGCCCTTCAAGCACTCACTTGAATTATTGAACAAAGAGGCATACTTTTGAGTAAGAAGCTAGCATCGCATGGCATCAAACCACCAGAGTGCAGGACTTTAAAACTTGTATAACACAAGCAACTAGACAAAAAACACAGTAAGACAAAAAACAAGATAAATCAACAACTAAGAGATGTCACTAAAAGTGACCGCCGTTGACGGAAAAACCCTGTGACGTTTTCAATAAAGAAGTCGAGGTATGACTAAAAATGACTTCCGTGAACATTTCCAGACCAGACTTCAAGAAATGCAATTAAAGACTTGGGAAAATGTGAAAACAGTTATCACCAGAGTTAATACGAGCAATATGTTATAGGAATATAACTTAATCACATATCGAATGACCTTTTTCTAGCAAGGATGGTCTGCAGTGTTTGCAAAAATTTTGGGATCACAACATAGCAACTATGGCAGATTTAAAAACAACTTAAACAAGCACTCACCAATTAAACGAAAGGATCCGGTACTCCAATGAACACGATTGAAGGAAGATGCGATGAGATCTGAAATAAGAGGAACCAAATACTTGCGAACGGCTTTTGTGTCTTTCTGCCCAACTAGTGCATGTAAACACTATAGGAATGAAACCAACCCTCGGTGCTGTGCTGCTGTCAACTCCAGGGGGTAAATGCCTCCAAGATGCGAAACGTGACGCAACACTGATACCATAGCTCTGGGTGATATTTCATTTAAGTTACTAACATTCGATAACGGAAAAAAGATTGAAAATAATTTCTAATATAGACTATTTTCAGGACAAGCATTTTTATTTCGCGTTTGATTTTATTGTTACATAAAAAGACTTATGTTTGTATAGCAGGTCTGACGGTGGACAAAGGAATGCACATTGCAGGCACTGTGAGTGATAGCAGGTGGTGTGCATTTTACAACCTAGCAAGACATCAGAAAACCAAAATGAGAGATAGAAAATCAGTATACCAAAAGTAATTGACAAAAATGCAGGCAGGCCTCACCGTGTAAGCAAAGGCGCAAGAGTTGATCAATTTTAAGGGTAAGAGGGAAAGTTGGATTAACGCCTTAACAACAAGGATCGACCCTTCAAAAAATTGAGGCAGATCATTTGGGATCATTTATGAATAGATCGCCTAAGAAAAGATATTTGGCGTTTTTCTTCGGCAATGGCATGGTGTGAATGTGCTAGTTTTAATTCGGAAATCTTCTGACGGAAAGTTATATTTAACAGGGCCGCCGGACGCAGGGGGGGGGGGGCAAAAGGAACAAAAAGGGCACAAACATATTTTTTCGCAACATTGGCTATTGCGAAAATAGGACAGTTTTCATGGTAATTCAGAAATTTTGACAAAATAACACATGCTTCATTCAGTGGGCACGCACTCTTGGGCATACTTAATTGTATACTTCATCATGGACGTTGAAGTTTTTCTTTGGTGTAAACCTTTTGTCAATGTATGATCATCATTTTCTTTAAAATTCAATTTACTTATTATGTTTTGGATTTTTAATGTAAGTGGAAATCGCGGCAGGCTCACACATGACAGGTGCATTATATTCGTCAAATATTCCAATTAATTACAACATACCAGAAAAATAATTCCCCATTAATGTAACCATTCATATAAAAGTAACAAAAACTTACAAGTTAAACTAAAAATATAGTGTACAAAATTGACAGAAATTGTCGTTTTAGGCTTTATCTATTTCGAAGTGAATTTTCAGTCTTTATATATTTCAATACGAGTTTTCACTCTTGCAATATTTAGCAAGACAAAAAATAAACAACTAAATTGCAATCTTTAGGCCAATTGAATTCTCCGAGATTATATACACTGCATAGTAGTACGCTGGTCGACCTACCGTATTCTCTCCAACGAGCGCTCATTAGAGATGGTATTGGAAATTCAGATATTCAAGATGCTACGCCAGTGTTTAAGCAGATCGACGAGGGTTCCGACTCGGAAGAAATTGACATCTTGTAAATTTTTTTAATTTAACAAGTATGATGCAAATGCGATATTATTTTTTGTAAAAACAATGATCGTTTGAATTTCAAAGCTCAGTTTTTTATTGGTGGATATCGTTGAATCTATCTTCAATGAGCACCTCTCTCTGAGGCCAAAAAATAAAATGAGTGACTGAGGCGTTTAATAGAGAGAATACGGTGTGTAACCGGCTGAGGAACAACTGGCAACACACTGAGGACATTTTTTAGCCAAAGAGACAGTCTCCTCCGCAGTCGATGTTGCTAGAAATTGAGAATTTAGTTGTTTTACATGGCGTCTAAAGGAAAAATATCTGGCTGTGAAAATAATACACGCAATATTTTTTTCAAAAAGGGCAGTTTTCACACTTTCTCCAAACAGGGGGGCCTGTGCCCCCGTGGACCCCCCGGCTCCGGCGGCCCTCTGTAATAAAATTTCTAAATCTTTCGATTCACTGCATGTTTAAGCGCATCCACGTTGAACCTTAGTCTGTACGATGAAGACATTTATTTTTCAGATTCACCTTTCGTTTATACTAAACCTTGTTCAATTAAAAGCCATGGAAAATAATGCCGCTAAAACCCTCACTTCGCGTTGAAAGATTTCTTTAATAGGCATGAAATAAAAACTACTTTCAAAAAACAGCACGATTTTAAAAAGGCATTAAACACTTAAGTATTTAAAAGGAAAAATTTTATTGCAGATTTAACAAGGGACAAACTGCTCATTCGTCGCACTGCATTATACTATACTAGGTATTTCATTGCATCGTTACACCTCTCAAATCTTTGCCAGGGTCACGATTGTCTGTGAAGCAAGCTACTCGATTTTAGGCAAGCTGGCAGTAGAAATCGGACATCAAAATTACTGGCGTAAAACAACCTATGGCGTGCAAAAGGCAATTGCTGAGAGATCCCAATGCGGTAGCACAATATGGAGCTCCTCCTCTGTGGAACTGTGATTGTAATTAGGAAGGAAATCTAAGGACAGCAGATTTGACGAATACAACAAAATTGAAAGATGATAGATAAAAGTAGATGAAATATGAATTTAAGTCCGTTTTCAATAATTTTGCTTCGTTTAACCTTCCAAAGAATTTCCCCTCTTCTATTCTTCCCAAAGCCTTCACGGTAGCCAAAGACTTCCTGATGCCTTTTTATCCGTGGTTTCTGTCAATTGTATTCTTGACTATATTTAGAAGAAAATTATTTTTCAAAGAAGCAAGATACTTTTTAAGTCTTTGTTGCTTCATTCTACAAATGAAATTTTTTCTTGAATCTTGGCTTGTCTTTGTGGCGTAGAAGCTTAAATAAAAGTGGATGGGACATGTAAAGGTAAGAGGGGCACTTCCATTAGCTACAAAAAGGCACTCAATCACTATATCTAGAAGATAAAGAAGTCACATGCAGGCTGTTTCTGAAAGGGGTCTCATGCAAGGACATTTTACCAATGTTTCTTAAAAGTGTTGGTATGTGCCTCTTTTTCGTGAGGTGATTCCATTCTCTATTGCCCATTTTACCCTTTCTCAGTCCCAGAGCTGTATAGGGGACCAGATTTTCACCGTATGGAACCAAACCGAGAGGAACTGAATGGCTAAAAAGATATACGGGGAAATTCAAAAAAAGGTTTGAACTTTAATATATATGGTAAGCAATCTAGTAATGACATAACGTTATATCAAAGTTAATTATCCTGTATACGGAAATTTTAAGTTCACACGTCGATAGCTACTTTGCGGATGAGAGTTCCCCCCCCCCCCCCCTTAAGGATATCAGAGTATCAGTACTGTAGTGGTGATTTTTCATTTAACTTGATGCCAAACTTATGTCTAGGTTTTCATTTTCTAGCTAGAGTTATTAGCTTTAGCAATCTTGTGTAAAGTTGATGATATTTTTTCTTTTCGTTCTCTTTGTAAATTGATTTATGTTTGACATGCCGATGTTTATTCGCAAAATGCTAAACTGACTAGTACTACTGTTCGAAAGACTCTTATAAGTAATTATAATTAGCTACTAAATAATGTTGTTATTTTCGGTTGAATGAAATGGATTAGAAAATAACAGAATGGATATCAGATATAAATGCAGAGAAAGAACAGCATTAAAGAATAAAAAACAAGCAACACAAAAGCCTCATTTTTGCAACTGCATACTTTCTAGCTTGATGGTTGATATTGTCGAATCTTTACAAACATCGTAACCTTGCAAAAATCTTTATAACTGCTAAGAACAAACATTTTGCTTTAGTTTAAACAAATCTGTCATTCGTTCAAGAGAAAAGGTGCAGGTTTTGCAATACCCACTTTGTGAACGTAACATTTCATATGCTTGAAATACGGTTATAAACTAAATAAATAAATTTAAAGTGATTTTCTTAAATCGGGAACTGTATTTTTTGAAAAGGATTGTCTTTTAAAGACAATTTATTTTGGGTTTTATATTAGAGAGATATAAACATTAAAATATTAGTGGTAATAAGAAGATAAAGACGCTTTTCCTCGAGTTCAGTTCTTTTTATTTTCATTATTTTAAATCTTTTGTTTGCCTTTGTTAAAGAAATTCTGGTAAATTAAACTAGCTTACCAAAAAGTGATTTAGAAAAAGTCCTATACATTCTAATGAACGTCATTGGGAGAAATTTTTAAGAAAAGAATTAGTTTATGATGAAGCTACAAGCAACCCTCGCTGAACACTAGCAAGATTTGAACAGATGTCTCAGCATTTGGAGCAGATGTTTCAGTTTTTTCGTTAAATCCTCCCAAACCTGATTTTTGCTTATCAAAAGCAAATGTATGGAATAATATACATTGATAATTGAGATGGTGACAAAGGCTTTCTCTCCACCCAAACAAATTGAATTGATAATATTCAACTACAACCAACCTGCTTACTTTATTGTAAACTTTTGCCTAGATTAGATAAAACTTCATAGGCCTACCTATTACTAATTTACTGCCTAATTATTTCAAAAAGTAAAAATGGTCTAAAAGTAATTTGTTTACGTAAAAAAGGCAAATTTGAGTACTTATTCTATAACTCCCATATTGCAAAGACTGCATGTATTTATGAAAACAAGTGTTTTCCTAAGTTTCTAGGATTATCATAATAAGCGACTTGAGGTTCCATAACCAATCAACTGAAAAAGTAGATTTTTCGCAAGCTGAAAAGAAATATAATAACAGCCATTGAAATAAAATTTCTGTTGTGCATTGATGAAAGATTGCTTGATCTGTTACTGCCATTTCAAAATGGTTTTGGGAGATTAAACACAAAACAACATGCAACTGTTACTTAATATGAAGAAGTCTGACTAGCTTTGGTTTTTGCTGGCTTCAAAGATTTCGATGGATATCGGCATTAATACCGCCCTAAATTCGTTAGTAGGCCATATACTTGCCTATCTCAAGTACTGCAAGCTATTTGTAGTTTTTTTTATAAAAAGACAAGAGACTGATTAATAATCCTAACAATATCCTT